CCAGCGCATTAAGTGCGCGACGCTGTCGTCGACCGAGTCGGAGTACGTGGCGGCCGTTGAAGCCGGCAAGGAGGGACGCCGACTTCGCTTCCTCCTGGCAGAGTTCCGGCAGCTGGACGCCGGGAAGCCGACTGTCCTTCGGGTGGACAACAAGTCGGCCATCACAGTCGCCGAGGGCATGGGGTTGACGGGCAACCTCAAGCACATGGAGCGACAACAGGCCTGGCTGCAGCACATGGTGAGGCGCGGGAAGTTCGCGTTGAGCTACATCCCGACCACCGAGCAGCCGGCCGACTTCCTGACGAAGGCGCTGCACTACCCGGCCTTCAACCGGTGCTCCGTCGTGATCGGCCAAGTGCGCCTGGCCGAAGTCGGCGGCGGAGACAATGACGTGCAGCAGTAGGTGCCATGCCCTCTTGCATGGCTGGTGCGGTATCCGGCGTGCTGTGTGTTGTGTGCACGCCGCCGAGCTATTCTCCGAGCAGTGCTGCCGTGTGGGTTGGGGGCCCAAGCGTGAACGCGGCAGGGGAGTGTCAACGGGAGTGGTGTGTGGCCCCGTCCACGCTTGGGCGGAGCCAACCTCGTGGTCGGGTGTGCAGGGGGATGCACCCGACCTGCAGCAGTGGGCACGGAGGTCACTCCAAGCTCACGCCTGGACGGCGTCCTGGGCGCCTGGATGGCGACCTGGACGCCAGGACGCCGACCTGGGGACGCCGGGTTTGGTATAGCCGGCGTCCGACTGGGCTGGACGACCAGGCGGGGTTGCCTGGTCGACCGGGATACCCGGGCGACGTGTGCGAAGGTCGCCGGGGGTGGTTTCTGCGAGGACGACCTCGGGGGTGGTATCCCGAGGTCGACGTGGCTGGTGGGCGCAGTCGCTGGTGTGGACTTTGCCAGGCATCTGTGCTGTGCCCGTGACGAGGCGTGGAGCACCAACCAGCTGCACGCACCTGCGAAGCACGTGCCCCGTTGTCCTGCGGGTGCAACGTTGTGCAGCCGACTTGCTGCAGCGTTGGCGCACCGCAGACTTGCAACGTTGGCGCGCCGCATCTCTGCAGCGCTGGAGCGGTGCGAGCGCTGCTGCGCTGGAGCGCGGTCGACCGTGCTGCGCTGGAGGTCGACCAGCAGCCTAGCTAGCTCTGATGTAGTCTGTGTTGCCAATGTTGTTGCTATCATTGTTGTGAACTTTTGCTAGTGAAACTCTTGCCAATTGCCCCTGTGAATGTGCAAGTAGTGTGAACACGAGCAGACAACTAAGTGAATGAACGCAGAGATCACACGAGCATCCGTGCCTAGCCCGTAGCCTAGCTCCCGTTGCTAAAGTTATCTCCACAATCTCTACGTCCATGGCTGTCTGCCACTGAGAGGAGTAAGGACCCAAAGTCGCCTCTGGGACAAGCAGCATGGCAGCGAGTCTAGTTCATTCAAGTCTAGTTCATTCAGGGATGTCTAGTTCATTCAGGTCTCCCTCAGGGACAAGCAGCATGGCAGCGAGATGAGGTACAGCAGCCGCGAGGTACTCGAGCTCAAACTGTCTGTCCTAAAAACGTCACAGCCAAGGGCAAGCTCACCTCGGACGGACGGAGGACAGCCAGAGTCAGAAACGAGACTCGCATGGTAGTCAAGGCGACACGTAGCAACAAAGTCAGCAAGCTCAATAACTAAGGCAGGCGCAATAGCAAACGAGAACGTGGGGTTAGTCACAAGCGTAGAAAGACAACGAGTAACCGTTGGACAAGCAGCATGAGTAAGGTCAGACACAAGGTCAGGCACTGCAGGAAGAGTGGACGCTAGAGGAGACGGCAAGGCAGGATGTTGTGGAACAGAGGAAGGACTAAGTGCCATAGTGTGCTGATTGGGAACAGATGGAGGGCGAACACGGCGAGCATGACAAGGTGAGGCAACACGAGACGCAGGCTCGCGACGCTCAGTCAACGAGTCTAGCAACAGAGTAACGAAGGAGAAGGCAGTGGTGAGTCAGGCGGTAATTGTGTCTGCGACCGGTTAGGCGGGAGACACAGGAGAGGAGGAGTAGTACCTGGGGAAGATGGCTCTGCAGAGGCAAGCGAAAGACAAAGAACATGGTGAAGCGTAGAGCCAAAGGGAGGCAGCGACGACGATGGCTGCTGCCAGAAAAAACGGTCGTCGCGGTAGCGGCTGCACAACACCTCCAGAACGAGCTCTGCGAGTGCCAGAAACTCCAGGACCTCCAGCTCCAGTACCTCCAGCACCAGAACCTCTAGTACCTCTAGTACCTCCAACTCCAGTCTCTCCAACATCTCCAACTCCAGTACCTCCAACTCCAGTACCCTCTAAACCTTCAGCAACAGACCCAGGAGGTGGTAGCGACGATGGCTGCTGCTCCCAAAATAAGGGCCGTCGCGGCAGAGGGTGCAACACACTCGGAAAGCCTCCAGCAGTAGTACCCTCAAATCCACCACTACGAGGACTCGCAATCCCCAGTAGGAGCAGCCCTAGAACTAGCACCTCCAGATCTCGCACCCCCAGAACCAGCACCTCCAGTGTCACCACCCCCACGACCAGTACCCCCAGAGCCCACGCCTCCAGTAGCACCACCTCCAACAGCACCAGAGTCCACAGCTGCAGGCAGGAGAGGCGGCGAAGATGGTTGAGGCAGAAAACCATCTGCACGTAAGTTGGCGCGATTCCGCCAGCCGAAACGGCTGGTCGCTGATGCTGACCTCACGCTCCTTCGCTGAGGAGAGCAACGTCATCCACCGAAGTCGCCATATGACCGTCGACTGCCTCGCTTGCCCCTGCATCTCACTGACATCGTCAACGACAGCACTGATCACTCCTCTCGTCACTCTCGTGCCCTCGTCACTGCCGACTTGGCCACCGTCGTCGACATGCAAGTCGGCGCCGCCTTCGTTGCGTGCCGGTCTAGGAGAGGCGGATGCACCGTCCGTTTTAAGTCGGGAATGCTTGTGCGCCCACTACGCGCAGGTGCCTAGGAGTGCCCACTTCAAGGGGACCTCCTCGAACTCACTCCCCGTGTAGCTTCTCCTAACATCACCTTCTCGTGCCTCCAAGATATCCTCTATGCCTGCAACCTCTGCCGGGGTAGGAGCCATGGTCTACACAGGCTGCCGGGTGCCGACCTAACAATGACCTAGGAAAGTGGTAAGTCGGCTACTACTGAAGGTATATTGCGGGGCCGTCCACACTCACCGCACCATGCGGAGATTCACTCTACACCGGCGGGAGCTGGACTATGGGAAAGCACGAGTGGTATGGATGATCGTAGCGTTCCTTGTGTTCTCTAGCACTTGTGCATTCACTGGGGCAAAACAGCAAGAGTTTCACTAACAAAAATTGAGAACAGTGATGCAAAAGGAACTGGCAATGGCGACTACATCAGTGGCCTAGCAACCAAGCAAGCAGGCAGGTCGACCTCCAGCGCAGCACGAGCTTGCCAGCACGGCAAATCAGCAGCATGCCATCGCAGCTGGAAGGCGGCTTGCCAACACCGCAAGTAGGCGACCTGCCAGCGCTGCACCAGGGCGGCTTGTCAACGCTGCAGCAAGGCGGCTTGCCAGCGTTGCAACCGCGGGTGACTACAACGCGCATGTTTGCACCAGTTCGCATGTGCATGTAGGCGGTTGAGCACGTCGTGCACCGCCACGACCATTGCTCAGGTCCCAAATCGACCAGGTGCCGTCAGTTGCGCCTGATGAGCCACGTCGACCTCGGGATACCACCCCGCAGGTCGGCTTTGCCAGAATCGTCTGGGCAACGTCTGCACATGTTCGCATGACTTCGCCGCCCTGGTTGATCAGTAGGCCGGGCACCCTCCGGTCGACGACCTCCTTCGTCGACCACCCGGTTGAAGTCAGCCGCCGGCTTCCCGTCATCGGTGGCGGCGAAGTGGTCCCCCACAGGTCGACCAACTTCGTCGACCTGCTCATCCAAGTCAGCGTTGACCACTGCAGGTGGTGTGCTACACGTCCCACGCACCCGACTGAGAAATCGGCTTTGTTAGAAACTGATGAGTAGAGAAAGAAGAAGAGAGTTGTACTAGCAGGCAGGTGGAGTACATATAGAAAACCCTAAAAGGGTTGTACTCTTTGTTGAGTACCCCACTACAGCCTACACAGCACATAACATTCTGACAGGCTTTGCCCAAGTGAGGACGGGGCCAGCTCCCGTCATCAGTGGCAACGCAATTATCTGTGAAGATCGCGTGTTCAGAACCGTAGAATAGACGTGGATGTGGAACACATCCTGCGCGAGAGGGATTGAAAAAAGAAAAAGCATTTCCTCTCCATAAAAGAACATATCGCGCGTGGTGAGGAATTATTTTATTGGTGACATTTGCACTTTCATAACCATGTAGTGCACGCGTATGGGGAAAAACTATCTTGTGCATGAGGGGAAGTTAGCTCCTCATCATGAAAACGCGCGTTGCTCGTGTCAGAGGTCCACTGGTGATCCCCGATTGATCCTAGGGAAGGGTTACAGGCATGGCGGCCTGGGGGGTTATGGGCGCACTCACCCGCTACACAAACAAGCCCTTTTATCCCAATGGTTAGTGGTTGGGATTCTGACAGCTCGTGAAAGAAATATTTGTTCGGATGTTTTCATGTGTCGAAACGTATGTCATGAGAACGCACGTTGTGCGTGAACAAGTAATTATCCGTAGTGTTTGCAAATTCGGAACCTTATGTTACATGTAGTTGGGGAAACATGTACGGTACGGTATTGTGCGCGAGAGGTGGAAAACATAATTTCATGCCCGGGGAAACACATCTTGTGCGTAATGGTGAAAAAGTACTCGTGTGTCAAACAATTTGCTACTCATGCACTGGGAAGCACATCTCCTGCGTGATTATAAAAAAAGGATTGCCCTGGAAACACACGCATTATTGTAGAAGTTTTTTTACATGATGTTTGAGTGTTTTGCAAACTTACCACTGTTGTGTTAACGAGTTCCTTGAAACGAGGCGCTGTTGCATTTCAAGAATCCCGAACCCGCCGAGATGTATTTTCAAGTCCGTTCTGCTGCTACCCCGCGTGACATGTCGCGTTCCAGCGGTGCATGGCAGCGGCTTCAATGGCTGTGGAACGGGATTGGCGGGTTCGTCGTGCTGCTGCTCGTCTACGCGGCGCTGCTCGAGTTGAATCGCGCGCCAACCTCCGTCATGCAGATGCCTCCCGAGCCCTCCGCCGCCATTCCGCAGGTGCGCCCCGCTGCTCGCATTGAGTCGCCCTCTCTCCTCCGTCATGCAGGTGCCTCCCGAGCCCGCTGCCTCCACACCCCTCCAACAATTTTCGGAAAAAGGAACCCGCCTCCAAAACGTTTTTTAACCCAAAACAGACCTTGAAGACGCAAAACCCATAACGGGCCATGGCGCTTGCGTCTGGCATGATTGGCACAGAGCAGGTGCGCGCCGCCGCAATGCTGTGCTCGGGCCCTCCCACTGCCACTGATTGCCAGCTGTGCGCTGCCGCAGCGTCTACTCCGCCATCGTGCTCGCGCCGCGGAGTGCCGTCTATTCGCCCCGCCATGCCTCGACTTGCGCGCTGACGCACCTTTGCCACCTGTTTTTTTTTCCATTCAATTACTACTACGTAGCCGAGCGCGTCAACCGTTTGCCGTGTACCTGGCAGGAGGGCTTCGGGGAGTCGGACAATGCCGAGGAGGCCAAGCAGTCGACGCGACTTAGGTAAGTCCTTCTCCGCGCAACTCTTTGAGAGTTGTCGCACCCCCTCGTCAGCCATCCCATTCCCACGTCAGCCATCCCATTCCCACGTCAGCCATCCCATTCCCACGTCAGCCATCCCATTCCCTCGTCAGCCATCCCATTCCCACGTCAGCCATCCCATTCCCACGTCAGCCATCCCATTGCCACGTCAGCCATCCCATTCCCTCGTCAGCCATCCCCTCCCCTCCCCTCGTCAGCCATCCCCTCCCCTCCCCTCGTCCGCCATCCCCTCCCCTCGTCCGCCATACCCTCTCCTCCCCTCGTCCGCCGTACCCTCTCCTCCCCTCGTCCGCCATACCCTCTCCTCCCCTCGTCCGCCATCCCCTCCCTGGCCCTCGGTGGTCCTCCCACCGTTGCTCCCGACTCAATGCAGTCATGTCCTCCCAGTGCATTCCTTCTGTTACGTTACGGCCTCCTGCCCCGCCTTGACCCTGATCAACAAGCACAAACCAATGCACTCAATTGCTGCCTCCACCCCACCTATCTAGCTTCCCACCCGCCCCCACCATTCCGTCCTCTTCTCCACGACCCCTCTTGTGCTTGCGGAGCTGTCACCTATGACTGCCTAAACCTATCACTGCCCGGACCTTCACTGCCCAAACCTATCACTGCCCGGACCTTCACTGCCCAGACCTATCACTGCCCGGACTTATCACTGCCCAGACCTATCACTGGCCGAACCTGCCACAGCACAGACCCATCACTGCGCGGAACTGTCACTTCCCGTACCAGGCCTATCAATGCCTGCACCTACCTCTGCCCGCACCTATCAATGCCTGCACCTACCTCTGCCCGCACCTATCAATGCCTGCACCTACCTCTGCACGCACCTATCAATGCCTGCACCTACCTCTGCCCACACCTATCAATGCCTGCACCTACCTCTGCCCGCACCTATCAATGCCTGCACCTACCTCTGCCCGCACCTATCAATGCCTGCACCTACCTCTGCCCGCACCTATCAATGCCTGCACCTACCTCTGCCCGCACCTATCAATGCCTGCACCTACCTCTGCCCGCACCTATCAATGCCTGCACCTACCTCTGCCCGCACCTATCAATGCCTGCACCTACCTCTGCCCGCACCTATCAATGCCTGCACCTACCTCTGCCCGCACCTATCAATGCCTGCACCTACCTCTGCCCGCACCTATCAATGCCTGCACCTACCTCTGCCCGCATCTATCAATGCCTGCACCTACCTCTGCCCGCACCTATCAATGCCTGCACCTACCTCTGCCCGCACCTATCAATGCCTGCACCTACCTCTGCCCGCACCTATCAATGCCTGCACCTACCTCTGCCCGCACCTATCAATGCCTGCACCTACCTCTGCCCGCACCTATCAATGCCTGCACCTACCTCTGCCCGCACCTATCAATGCCTGCACCTACCTCTGCCCGCACCTATCAATGCCTGCACCTACCTCTGCCCGCACCTATCAATGCCTGCACCTACCTCTGCCCGCACCTATCAATGCCTGCACCTACCTCTGCCCGCACCTATCAATGCCTGCACCTACCTCTGCCCGCACCTATCAATGCCTGCACCTACCTCTGCCCGCACCTATCAATGCCTGCACCTACCTCTGCCCGCACCTATCAATGCCTGCACCTACCTCTGCCCGCACCTACCAGTGCCCCCGCATCTACCACTGCCCGGCCCTACTTCTGCTCGGACCTGTCACCACCACCACACGGGCCTATAACTGCCGGGTCCTGTAACTGCCGGGTCCTGTAACTGCCGGGTCCTGTAACTGCCGGGTCCTATAACTGCCGGGTCCTGTAACTGCCGGGTCCTATAACTACCGGGTCCTATAACTGCCGGGTCCTTTTACTGCCGGGTCCTATAACTGCCGGGTCCTGTAACTGCCGGGTCCTTTAACTGCCCGCACCTATCGCTGCGCTGACCTGTCACTATTTGGGCCCTTGTGTGGCAGAAGTGCAACACGCGGCGCATCAGACAGCGCACAGAGGCCACCCGACGACGCCCAACACTACCACATCTGTTGGTCCTCTGGTACTCCTCCCTCCCAGCACTGCTCCCCTTCCTCACCTGCTCCCTCCGCCCGCTGCTCCCTTCTTCTGTTTTTCCTTCCCCCTGCTGCTCCCTCCCCCCAAACTGCTCCCTTCCCCTGAATGCCATTTGAACCGAACTAGAAGTATTTGATGCCGAGTCCTGATAGCCAATAGGCACCTGCTCCCACTGCCAATAGGCACCTGCTCCCAATGCCATCCGCTCCGCATGTTTGATGCCAAGTGTGTGTATGTTTATATGATACAATGTGACTGTGTATATGGTGTGTAGCACGTATGGTGTGAAGTAGGGTTGAGAATGTAACCGATCCGAACTGGTTCGGTTTTTGCACCCTCGAACCAGAACCGGTTTGACCCGAATCAGAACCGATTAGGGTCAAACCGTTCTAAGAGCTTACCAGTCCTTGGTATGTTTGACCCTTGTGGATGGAGATGGTTCGGTTCTAACCGGTTCCGATTCTGTTCAACAGAACTGCGGATGAAAGAATGCTCTCCTCCCCACAACATTTGACGGCTGTAGCATTGTGTGAAGCAGAAATGCCGTGCGGTAGCGTAGCGTACCCACTCTGGTGTGGCCCCCAACCATTCACCAGTAGGCGGAGCAGCAGCAGCCACAGAAGGAGAAGCAGCAGGAGCAGGGCGAGGGGGAGTCGTGGTGGGCGGCAGGGGGTGCAGTGGGTGCGTGCGGGGGGAGGAGTGCAGCATTCACATGTGGGTGATCCCCCCTGCGCACTGGTTCCCGCCCTTGGTGACTGATGAGGGTGGCGGGGGCAGCAACGACATGGGAAGTAGCAGCAGCAACAACCCCAGGGCGAGCCATAACAGCACGTGGTTGAAGAACGACCTGATTCTCTCCCTGGAGGGCCCGGCGTTGGGCACTGGGGATGTGCAGTGCCTTGACCCACCTGCCTGCTCTCACTACCTCATCTCCTACCGCCTCTGGGATGTGGGGAGTTATAAGTAAGCTGCTCATGGGCTTTGTCAATCTCGCATGGTTTTTTTTTTTTTTTTTTCCTTTCTTTTTTTCGTCATGGTTATTGAGGCGCCTCAAGGGAGGCCTCCCTCTTCACCTAACCTCTATGTTGTTCTCCTCGCCCTTGACAGAAGTGCCATTACGCACATGGACTGTGTGATGTGTGTTATGCACATGGACTGTGATGTGTGTTACGCACATGGACTGTGATGTGTGTTATGCACATGGACTGTGATGTGTGTTACGCACATGGACTGTGATGTGTGTTACGCACATGGACTGTGATGTGTGTTATGCACATGGACTGTGATGTGTGTTATGCACATGGACTGTGATGTGTGTTATGCACATGGACTGTGATGTGTGTTACGCACATGGACTGTGAGAATCCCATAGTTGGGATGAAGGGGTGAACTCAAGAGTTGGTATATTGATAAAGAAGAGCAGTACAAATAGGGAATGGGAAGAGTGACCAAAATCAGAGTTACCCCACACCATTATTGGTTGACCAATGTGGTGAGGATCCAACCCAATAACTGAGGTTGAGTCAATTATTGGAGGGGCCAAACATTGGAGGGATTGGCAACCAATGTTGGCTCCCCAACAATAATGGTCGATTGGGTTGTGGGAACCCAACCAAAAGTTGGGAGACCACCTCAATGTGTACACCCATGATTTGGGTGTACACTATTAGTTCTAGCCATATACATGCTATATTCTAACACAACCCCTTAGCATGAAAATGGCTAGACCAAACAACCCCTGAAGCGAGGACCCGGTAATAGATGCGGCGGATGACGCGGCATGCCAGCCGAAAAGAGGGGGCGACTGTGGAGAAGGCATCCCAACAGCCGACGGGTGTGGCGGCGGTGAGGTCGAATGCCAGCCGGGAGGGGGGGGCTGCTGCAGATGAGGAGGCAAGCCAGCCGAGGGTGCTGCGGCGGCGAAGGGAGACGGCGGCGGCAGCGAGATAGCTGCGGCTGCGACGGAGACGGCGGCGGCAGCGGGAGAGCTGCGGCGGCGAAGGGAGACGGCAGCGGCAGCTGGAGGGCTGCGGCGGCGGAAGGGGGACGGCGGCGGCAGCGGGAGGGCTGCGGCGGCGGAAGGGGGACGGCGGCGGCAGCGGGAGGGCTGCGGCGGCGGAAGGGGGACGGCGGCGGCAGCGGGAGGGCTGCGGCGGCGGAAGGGGGACGACGGCGGCAGCGGGAGGGCTGCGGCGGCGGAAGGGGGACGACGGCGGCAGCGGGAGGGCTGCGGCGGCGGAAGGGGGACGGCGGCGGCAGCGGGAGGGCTGCGGCGGCGGAAGGGGGACGGCGGCGGCAGCGGGAGGGCTGCGGCGGCGGAGGGGGGACGGCGGCGGCAGCGGGAGGGCTGCGGCGGCGGAAGGGGGACGGCGGCGGCAGCGGGAGGGCTGCGGCGGCGGAAGGGGGACGGCGGCGGCAGCGGGAGGGCTGCGGCGGCGGAAGGGGGACGGCGGCGGCAGCGGGAGGGCTGCGGCGGCGGAGGGGGGACGGCGGCGGCAGCGGCAGGGCTGCGGCGGCGGAGGGGGGACGGCGGCGGCAGCGGGAGGGCTGCGGCGGCGGAAGGGGGACGGCGGCGGCAGCAGGAGGGCTGCGGCGGCGGAAGGGGGACGGCGGCGGCAAGCGGGAGGGCTGCGGCGGCGGAAGGGGGACGGCGGCGGCAGCGGGAGGGCTGCGGCGGCGGAGGGGGGACGGCGGCGGCAGCGGGAGGGCTGCGGCGGCGGAAGGGGGACGGCGGCGGCAGCGGGAGGGCTGCGGCGGCGGAAGGGGGACGGCGGCGGCAGCGGGAGGGCTGCGGCGGCGGAAGGGGGACGGCGGCGGCAGCGGGAGGGCTGCGGCGGCGGAAGGGGGACGGCGGCGGCAGCGGGAGGGCTGCGGCGGCGGAAGGGGGACGGCGGCGGCAGCGGGAGGGCTGCGGCGGCGGAAGGGGGACGGCGGCGGCAGCGGGAGGGCTGCGGCGGCGGAAGGGGGACGGCGGCGGCAGCGGAGGGCTGCGGCGGCGGAGGGCTGCGGGGGCGGAAGGGGGACGGCGGCGGCAGCGGGAGGGCTGCGGCGGCGGAAGGGGGACGGCGGCGGCAGCGGGAGGGCTGCGGCGGCGGAAGGGGGACGGCGGCGGCAGCGGGAGGGCTGCGGCGGCGGAGGGGGGACGGCGGCGGCAGCGGGAGGGCTGCGGCGGCGGAGGGGGGACGGCGGCGGCAGCGGGAGGGCTGCGGCGGCGGAAGGGGGACGGCGGCGGCAGCGGGAGGGCTGCGGCGGCGGAAGGGGGACGGCGGCGGCAGCGGGAGGGCTGCGGCGGCGGAGGGGGGACGGCGGCGGCAGCGGGAGGGCTGCGGCGGCGGAAGGGGGACGGCGGCGGCAGCGGGAGGGCTGCGGCGGCGGAAGGGGGACGGCGGCGGCAGCGGGAGGGCTGCGGCGGCGGAAGGGGGACGGCGGCGGCAGCGGGAGGGCTGCGGCGGCGGAAGGGGGGCGGCGGCGGCAGCGGGAGGGCTGCGGCGGCGGAAGGGGGGCGGCGGCGGCAGCGGGAGGGCTGCGGCGGCGGAAGGGGGACGGCGGCGGCAGCGGGAGGGCTGCGGCGGCGGAAGGGGGGGGGGCTGGATGGGGGAGGAAGCGAGGAGTAAGGGGGAGGATGGGAAGATGGCCCTGAGGAGGAGGAAACGAGGGGGAAGGAGGGCGGGAAGGCCCTTGAGAGGAGGAAATGAGGGTGAAGGAAGGGGGGGATGGCCTGTAGGAGGAGGAAGCGAGGGGGAAGGGGGAGGCGGGCTGGATGGCCCTTAGAAGGGGTGCGGAAGCGTGGTGACAATGTGAATGAATGCGTTGACGGGCGAAATGCCCGCGGGAGCGGGATTGACGGGCGAAATGCCGTCGGGAGCGGGATTGACGGGCGAAATGCCGTCGGGAGCGGGATTGACGGGCGAAATGCCGTCGGGAGCGGGATTGACGGGCGAAATGCCGTCGGGAGCGGGATTGACGGGCGAAATGCCGTCGGGAGCGGGATTGACGGGCGAAATGCCGTCGGGAGCGGGATTGACGGGCGAAATGCCGTCGGGAGCGGGATTGACGGGCGAAATGCCCTCGGGAGCGGGATTGACGGGCGAAATGCCGTCGGGAGCGGGATTGACGGGCGAAGTGGTGGGCGCGTTCGTCGCGCGGGTCGGCGCGGACGTCCCGCTGCTCGGCGCGTTCGTCGCGCGGGTCGGCGCGGACGTCCCGCTGCTCGGCGCGTTCGTCGCGCGGGTTGGAGCGGACGTCCCGCTGCTCGGCGCGTTCGTCGCGCGGGTCGGCGCGGCCGTCCCGCTGCTCGGCGCGTTCGTCGCGCGGGTCGGCGCGGACGTCCCGCTGCTCGGCGCGTTCGTCGCGCGGGTCGGCGCGTACAAGCGCCTCAAATGCCACGGGGAAAAGCCTGCGGGAGGGGAGCAGGCTGGTGGGCCAAAGACCATGAAGCTGGCAAGAGGCCGAGGATCTCCTAGGGAGGGAGAAGGTGGCGTTAGCCAAAATAGCTCTATACCATGTGAGAATCCCATAGTTGGGATGAAGGGGTGAACTCAAGAGTTGGTATATTGATAAAGAAGAGCAGTACAAATAGGGAATGGGAAGAGTGACCAAAATCAGAGTTACCCCACACCATTATTGGTTGACCAATGTGGTGAGGATCCAACCCAATAACTGAGGTTGAGTCAATTATTGGAGGGGCCAAACATTGGAGGGGTTGGCCACCAATGTTGGCTCCCCAACAATAATCGTCGCTTGGGTTGTGGGAACCCAACCAAAAGTTGGGAGACCACCTCAATGTGTACACCCATGATTTGGGTGTACACTATGAGTTCCAGCCATATACATGCTATATTCTAACAACATGGAATGTGATGTGTGTTATGCACATGGACTGTGATGTGTGTTATGCACATGGACTGTGATGTGTGTTATGCACATGGACTGTGATGTGTGTTATGCACATGGACTGTGATGTGTGTTATGCACATGGACTGTGATGTGTGTTATGCACATGGACTGTGATGTGTGTTATGCACATGGACTGTGATGTGTGTTATGCACATGGACTGTGATGTGTGTTACGCACATGGACTGTGATGTGTGTTATGCACATGGACTGTGATGTGTGTTATGCACATGGACTGTGATGTGTGTTATGCACATGGACTGTGATGTGTGTTATGCACATGGACTGTGATGTGTGTTATGCACATGGACTGTGATGTGTGTTATGCACATGGACTGTGATGTGTGTTATGCACATGGACTGTGATGTGTGTTACGCACATGGACTGTGATGTGTGTTACGCACATGGACTGTGATGTGTGTTATGCACATGGACTGTGATGTGTGTTACGCACATGGACTGTGATGTGTGTTATGCACATGGACTGTGATGTGTGTTATGCACATGGACTGTGATGTGTGTTATGCACATGGACTGTGATGTGTGTTATGCACATGGACTGTGATGTGTGTTATGCACATGGACTGTGATGTGTGTTACGCACATGGACTGTGATGTGTGTTATGCACATGGACTGTGATGTGTGTTATGCACATGGACTGTGATGTGTGTTACGCACATGGACTGTGATGTGTGTTACGCACATGGACTGTGATGTGTGTTATGCACATGGACTGTGATGTGTGTTATGCACATGGACTGTGATGTGTGTTATGCACATGGACTGTGATGTGTGTTATGCACATGGACTGTGATGTGTGTTACGCACATGGACTGTGATGTGTGTTATGCACATGGACTGTGATGTGTGTTACGCACATGGACTGTGATGTGTGTTACGCACATGGACTGTGATGTGTGTTATGCACATGGACTGTGATGTGTGTTATGCACATGGACTGTGATGTGTGTTATGCACATGGACTGTGATGTGTGTTATGCACATGGACTGTGATGTGTGTTACGCACATGGACTGTGATGTGTGTTATGCACATGGACTGTGATGTGTGTTACGCACATGGACTGTGATGTGTGTTATGCACATGGACTGTGATGTGTGTTATGCACATGGACTGTGATGTGTGTTACGCACATGGACTGTGATGTGTGTTACGCACATGGACTGTGATGTGTGTTACGCACATGGACTGTGATGTGTGTTACGCACATGGACTGTGATGTGTGTTATGCACATGGACTGTGATGTGTGTTACGCACATGGACTGTGATGTGTGTTATGCACATGGACTGTGATGTGTGTTATGCACATGGACTGTGATGTGTGTTACGCACATGGACTGTGATGTGTGTTATGCACATGGACTGTGATGTGTGTTACGCACATGGACTGTGATGTGTGTTATGCACATGGACTGTGATGTGTGTTATGCACATGGACTGTGATGTGTGTTACGCACATGGACTGTGATGTGTGTTACGCACATGGACTGTGATGTGTGTTACGCACATGGACTGTGATGTGTGTTACGCACATGGACTGTGATGTGTGTTACGCACATGGACTGTGATGTGTGTTACGCACATGGACTGTGATGTGTGTTATGCACATGGACTGTGATGTGTGTTATGCACATGGACTGTGATGTGTGTTATGCACATGGACTGTGATGTGTGTTACGCACATGGACTGTGATGTGTGTTACGCACATGGACTGTGATGTGTGTTACGCACATGGACTGTGATGTGTGTTACGCACATGGACTGTGATGTGTGTTACGCACATGGACTGTGATGTGTGTTACGCACATGGACTGTGATGTGTGTTATGCACATGGACTGTGATGTGTGTTACGCACATGGACTGTGATGTGTGTTACGCACATGGACTGTGATGTGTGTTATGCACATGGACTGTGATGTGTGTTACGCACATGGACTGTGATGTGTGTTATGCACATGGACTGTGATGTGTGTTACGCACATGGACTGTGATGTGTGTTACGCACATGGACTGTGATGTGTGTTACGCACATGGACTGTGATGTGTGTTACGCACATGGACTGTGATGTGTGTTACGCACATGGACTGTGATGTGTGTTACGCACATGGACTGTGATGTGTGTTATGCACATGGACTGTGATGTGTGTTACGCACATGGACTGTGATGTGTGTTACGCACATGGACTGTGATGTGTGTTATGCACATGGACTGTGATGTGTGTTATGCACATGGACTGTGATGTGTGTTATGCACATGGACTGTGATGTGTGTTACGCACATGGACTGTGATGTGTGTTACGCACATGGACTGTGATGTGTGTTACGCACATGGACTGTGATGTGTGTTATGCACATGGACTGTGATGTGTGTTACGCACATGGACTGTGATGTGTGTTACGCACATGGACTGTGATGTGTGTTACGCACATGGACTGTGATGTGTGTTATGCACATGGACTGTGATGTGTGTTATGCACATGGACTGTGATGTGTGTTATGCACATGGACTGTGATGTGTGTTACGCACATGGACTGTGATGTGTGTTACGCACATGGACTGTGATGTGTGTTACGCACATGGACTGTGATGTGTGTTATGCACATGGACTGTGATGTGTGTTACGCACATGGACTGTGATGTGTGTTATGCACATGGACTGTGATGTGTGTTATGCACATGGACTGTGATGTGTGTTATGCACATGGACTGTGATGTGTGTTACGCACATGGACTGTGATGTGTGTTACGCACATGGACTGTGATGTGTGTTACGCACATGGACTGTGATGTGTGTTACGCACATGGACTGTGATGTGTGTTACGCACATGGACTGTGATGTGTGTTATGCACATGGACTGTGATGTGTGTTATGCACATGGACTGTGATGTGTGTTATGCACATGGACTGTGATGTGTGTTATGCACATGGACTGTGATGTGTGTTATGCACATGGACTGTGATGTGTGTTATGCACATGGACTGTGATGTGTGTTATGCACATGGACTGTGATGTGTGTTATGCACATGGACTGTGATGTGTGTTATGCACATGGACTGTGATGTGTGTTATGCACATGGACTGTGATGTGTGTTATGCACATGGACTGTGATGTGTGTTATGCACATGGACTGTGATGTGTGTTATGCACATGGACTGTGATGTGTGTTATGCACATGGACTGTGATGTGTGTTACGCACATGGACTGTGATGTGTGTTACGCACATGGACTGTGATGTGTGTTATGCACATGGACTGTGATGTGTGTTACGCACATGGACTGTGATGTGTGTTATGCACATGGACTGTGATGTGTGTTACGCACATGGACTGTGATGTGTGTTACGCACATGGACTGTGATGTGTGTTATGCACATGGACTGTGATGTGTGTTACGCACATGGACTGTGATGTGTGTTACGCACATGGACTGTGATGTGTGTTACGCACATGGACTGTGATGTGTGTTATGCACATGGACTGTGATGTGTGTTACGCACATGGACTGTGATGTGTGTTACGCACATGGACTGTGATGTGTGTTATGCACATGGACTGTGATGTGTGTTATGCACATGGACTGTGATGTGTGTTATGCACATGGACTGTGATGTGTGTTATGCACATGGACTGTGATGTGTGTTACGCACATGGACTGTGATGTGTGTTACGCACATGGACTGTGATGTGTGTTATGCACATGGACTGTGATGTGTGTTACGCACATGGACTGTGATGTGTGTTACGCACATGGACTGTGATGTGTGTTACGCACATGGACTGTGATGTGTGTTATGCACATGGACTGTGATGTGTGTTATGCACATGGACTGTGATGTGTGTTATGCACATGGACTGTGATGTGTGTTACGCACATGGACTGTGATGTGTGTTACGCACATGGACTGTGATGTGTGTTACGCACATGGACTGTGATGTGTGTTATGCACATGGACTGTGATGTGTGTTACGCACATGGACTGTGATGTGTGTTATGCACATGGACTGTGATGTGTGTTATGCACATGGACTGTGATGTGTGTTATGCACATGGACTGTGATGTGTGTTACGCACATGGACTGTGATGTGTGTTACGCACATGGACTGTGATGTGTGTTACGCACATGGACTGTGATGTGTGTTACGCACATGGACTGTGATGTGTGTTACGCACATGGACTGTGATGTGTGTTATGCACATGGACTGTGATGTGTGTTATGCACATGGACTGTGATGTGTGTTATGCACATGGACTGTGATGTGTGTTATGCACATGGACTGTGATGTGTGTTATGCACATGGACTGTGATGTGTGTTATGCACATGGACTGTGATGTGTGTTATGCACATGGACTGTGATGTGTGTTATGCACATGGACTGTGATGTGTGTTACGCACATGGACTGTGATGTGTGTTATGCACATGGACTGTGATGTGTGTTATGCACATGGACTGTGATGTGTGTTATGCACATGGACTGTGATGTGTGTTACGCACATGGACTGTGATGTGTGTTACGCACATGGACTGTGATGTGTGTTATGCACATGGACTGTGATGTGTGTTACGCACATGGACTGTGATGTGTGTTACGCACATGGACTGTGATGTGTGTTATGCACATGGACTGTGATGTGTGTTATGCACATGGACTGTGATGTGTGTTACGCACATGGACTGTGATGTGTGTTATGCACATGGACTGTGATGTGTGTTATGCACATGGACTGTGATGTGTGTTACGCACATGGACTGTGATGTGTGTTACGCACATGGACTGTGATGTGTGTTACGCACATGGACTGTGATGTGTGTTATGCACATGGACTGTGATGTGTGTTATGCACATGGACTGTGATGTGTGTTACG